ATCTGCCACGTCAGCTTGGGTGGACCCCACATTGCCTACGTGTCTGACACGTCAGCTAGTCACGTCAGCATACACTGGGTTTTGACCTGGTGTGGTGCAGCGACTATTCCTCCTGCCACGTGGCTTCATCTACAGCATCCAGTTATCCCAAATTTTGATTGTTTAAATCGGAGCCATTCAAAGTCCGATTTGGGTGATCTCAGTGTCGTTTCCAGCATTTTTGGCCATTCCGGACACATCTATAAGGTCATATTTTTGAAATTCAAATCCGAGAAAGAGTAAAAATGGCTGATGAAATAAAGGCTGCAGGAATTGAAAATTTTGATGGAACTGATTTTGGATATTAGAAAATACAAATTGAAGATTATCTATATGGGAAGAAACTTCATCTTCCTCTGTTGGGGAGCAAGCCAGAAAACATGTCAGAAGAAGATTGACAAATTCTTGATAGACAAGTCTTGGGCATTATCCGGCTATCATTGTCAAGAAGAGTTGCTCATAATGTTACAAAAGAGAAATCCACAGCAAGATTGATGGAAGCCTTGTCTGGGATGTATGAGAAGCCATCAACAAATAACAAAGTGCACTTGATGAAGAAGCTGTTCAACTTGAAGATGACAGAAAGCACCTCTGTTACACAGCATCTTAATAATTTCAACACCATCACAAATCAATTGTCATCTGTTGAAATTGAGTTTGATGATGAGATCCGAGCACTTATTTTGCTAGCTTCACTTCCAAGCAGTTGGGAAGGTATGAGAACAGCCGTAAGCAACTTAGCTGGAAAATCCAAATTAAAATATGATGATATCCGAGACCTGATTTTAGCTGAAGAAGTACGAAGGAAAGACTCGGGTGAAAGCTCAAATTTAGGTTCAACTTTCAACATCAACACTCGAAGAAGGAGACAAGACAGAGGCATATCCAGAGGCAGATCAAAATCCAGGTACAGAAGGAAAAGCAAGTTTGGACCCAGGAAGCAGGTTGAATGTTGGAATTGTGGCAAACCTAGTCATTTCATGAGGAGTTGCACAAAACCAAAGAAACCTGAAGCTGATTCTGCAAATACCACTATAGATGAGGTACAAGATGCTTTGATCCTTGCTGTACATAGTCCTATTGATGATTGGGTTCTTGATTCTGGAACTTCATTTCACTGTACTTCACACCATGAAATGATGCAAAATTATACTGCTGGAAATTATGGGGTAGTCTATCTGGCCGATGGACAACCATTGGATATTGTGGGTATAAGAGATGTGCAAATCAAGACAATGAATGGATCTATATGGAACTTGCAAAATGTAAAGCATGTTCCTGAACTAAAGAAGAAGTTGATCTCGGTCAGACAACTTGATGATAGTGGCCATTCGATCCTTTTCTCTGGAGGAATGTGGAAGGTATCAAAGGGAGCAATGATTTTGGCTCGTGGAAAGAAAACTGGCACCTTGTATATGACCACAAGATCAACAGATATAATTGCCTCTACTGAAGCAGAAAATCGGGCACAGTTATGGCATTATAGACTCGGCCATATGAGTCAAAAGGGGATGAAGATACTTCAGTCAAAGGGAAAGCTGTCAGAGTTACAAAATATTGATCTAGACATTTGTAAAAGCTGTGTTCTCGAAAAACAGAAGAAGCTCAGTTTCTTAAAGGTTGGCAGGACCTTAAGACCAAGAAAGCTAGAACTGGTACACACAGATTTATGGGGACCAGCTCCAGTAGCATCTCTTGGCGGTTCTCGGTACTATGTCACTTTTATTGATGACTTTAGCAGAAAGGTATGGGTCTACTTTCTGAAAAATCAGCAGGAAGGTATGGTCTACTTTCTGAAAAATAAATCTGATGTGTTTGACACATTCAAGAAATGGAAGGCTATGGTTGAGACTGAATCAAGTTTGAAGTTAAAATGCTTACGATCTGATAATAGAGAAGAATACATTGATGGAGGTTTCAAGGAGTATTGCGCTGTCAACGGTATCAGAATGGAAAAGACAGTTCCAGGCACACCACAACAGAATGGCATTGCTGAACGGATGAACATGACCATCAATGAATGAGCTAGAAGCATGAGGTTGCATTCTAAGTTACCTCTAACATTCTGGGCTGATGCAGTTCATACTGTATTTTACTTGATCAACCGTGGATCATCAGTTCCTTTGGAGTTTAGACTGCCCGAGGAAGTCTGGAGAGGAAAAGAAGTATAGCTTTCTCACCTAAAAGTCTTTGGGTGTGTTTCCTATGTGCATGTAGACTCTGATGCTCGCAACAAGCTGGATGCCAAATCAAAGAAATGTTTCTTTATTGGCTATGGAGATGAAGAATTTGGATTTCGGTTTTGGGATGATCAGAACAAGAAGATTATGAGAAGCAGGAACGTGATCTTCAACGAGAAAGTTTTGTACAAAGACAAATCAAGTACAAAACTAGAGATAACTGATTCAGATACGAGTCCACAGAAATCTGAATTCATACGATTAGAAGGGCTTCCCGATGTTATCACTCAAGAGTCCTTACAAGAAAGTTCAGGCACATCAGTACCCACCACTATTACACAAGACAATGCAGAGCCAAGTGAACGAGCTGTTAGCAGATCTTCAAGGACTATAAAGCCTCCACAACGGTTCACACTTCTACTGAATTATATCTTGCTGACAGATGGTGGTGAACCATTAACTTATGAAAAATCCTTACAAGATGGAAACTCGAGCAAGTGGGAGTTAGCCATGAAGGACGAGATGGAGTCATTGTTGAAGAACAAGACTTGGGAGTTAACCAAACTGCCTGAAGGAAATAAGGCCTTGCAAAACAAGTGGGTTTACAGAGTAAAGATTGAGCATGATGGAAGCAAACGATTCAAAGCAAGACTAGTTGTAAAAGGGTTTCAGCAAAAGAAAGGGATTGACTATTCTGAGATATTCTCTCCAGTTGTGAAGCTTACAACAATCAGAGTTGTTCTGGGGATAGTAGCTGCAGAAAATTTACATCTTGAACAATTAGATGTAAAAACAGCATTTCTTCATGGTGAATTGGAGGAAGACATTTACATGCAACAACCAGAGGGGTTTGCAATACCAGGAAAGGAGAGTCAAGTTTGCAAGCTAAAGAAGAGCCTATATGGTTTGAAGCAAGCTCCAAGATAGTGGTACAATAAGTTTGATAAATTCATGTATAGTACGGGATACACAAAATGTCAGGCTGATCATTGTTGTTATGTCAAACATTTTGACAACTCCTATATCATTCTACTGTTATATGTGGATGATATGTTAATTGCAGGATCCAGCATGGAAGAGATTGACAAGCTAAAGCAACAGTTGTCAAAACAGTTCGAAATGAAGGATCTGGGAGCTGCTAAACAAATACTTGGCATAAGAATCATCAGAGACAAAGACAAAGGTATACTAAAACTTTCACAGGCAGAGTATGTCAAGAAGGTTCTCAGCAGGTTTAGTATGGATAATGCTAAGCCAGTATGTACACTTCTTGGGAATCATTTCAAGCTTAGTAGAGACCAGTCACCAAAAACTGAGCTAGAACGTGGATACATGGACCAGATTCCATACGCCTCAGCTATCGACTCTTTGATGTACGCCATGGTCTGTACTAGACCAGATATTGCCCATGCAGTGGGAGTTGTAAGCCGATATATAAGCAATCCTGGAAAGCAGCATTGGGAGGCAGTGAAATGGATCATGAGGTACTTAAAAGGCTCATCGGAGACATGTCTTATTTTCACAACTGGCGGTTTGAAACTTGAAGGCTTTGTAGATGCTGATCTAGCAGGAGATGTTGATAGCAGAAAGAGTACTACATGTTATATATATACTCTAGGAGGCACTGCTGTTTCTTGGTGTTCTACCTTGCAAAAGATAGTTGCTCTTTCAACGATAGAAGCTGAATATGTTGCAGTTTCAGAATCTGCAAAAGAGATAGTATGGCTACAGAGTTTCCTACAAGAATTGGGCAAGATGCATGGAAAAGGTACTTTGTATAGTGATAGTCAGAGTGCAATCTTCCTTGCTAAGAATCCAGCATTTCACTCCAGAACAAAGCACATACAGATCAAATATCACTTCATCCGGCAATTGCTCGATGATGAACAACTGTTACTTGAAAAGATCTGTGAAAGCAAGAATCCAATCGATATGTTAACTAAAGGAGTTACTCTCGATAAACTGAAGCTGTGTAAAGCTTCAGTTGGTCTTGAAGATTAAAAGACAGACCTAACACCATTTGTGTCCAAGTGGGAGATTGTTATGTGTGTGGACACAAATGGTCGGTGGCAGCCATGGTTAAGATTCATTCCTTGATTGTTCTTCAGGGTTTTGTATTTGGTGGCAGCCATGGTTGACATGGTTATAGTCAAATGGTAGGTGCCTAACTTGCCCACCATTGTTGAACAATTATCTCCCTCCTCAGCTATAAATAGAAGGTGCATTGATAGCTGAGATAGACCACGAAATAGAGAAACACAGAGAGAGAGCTAAGGGTGAGAGTTGAGTTGAGTTGAGAAGTTTTCTCCTCCTCCTTATTTTGTTGTTTGTATTGCTTTTGAGCTTGATTAATACAAACCAGTAGCTCCGTGAAGTAGGCAAGTTGCCGAACCATGTAAATTTATGTGTTTGAATGTTTGGATCTCCTAACATCCCTCTCTTGTCATTAATTTCATTTGCTTCCCCACAACCAAATTGATGTGGGATGCAATTGCTACTACATACTTTGATGGCAGTGACACCTCCTAGGTGTATGACCTTTAGCGACGTGTGACACGTCTTAAACAAGTTGGCGATTCATTGGAAAAGTTCTATGATGAACTCCAAGGTCTCTAGCGTGAAATCGAATTTTATAATCCAAACCCGATGGAATGCCCAACAGATATTCAACATTACGATTCTTTTATTCAAAAAGATCGAGTATATGTATTCTTGGATGGTCTTGATGACCATTTAAACCATATCAGGTGTAATGTTTTGTAGATAAAGTCATGCCCAACAATGGAGCAAACCTATACACACATTAGGAGGGAAGCTCTTTGTCAAGCAGTGATGACCACAAGCGTAGATAATCTACTTAGAACAGGCCTGACATCCAAAAGTCTTAAGCACAACTCACATTCTCTCTCTTTTCATAGTGGCAAATCTGGTTCCAACATTAAATCCTGAGCCATCTCTAATGGCACTAAATGCTCTCACTGTAGGGGGGAGGGGACATACTTATGAGACCTGTTTCAAGCTTCATGGGTATCCCGATTGGTGGCATGAACTCCAAGCTTAGAAGCCCTGTGATGGAAATGGTGGTAACATAGGATAGGCTATAGTGGCTACAGCAAAACCACATATGTCCCTTATTCTAACTGTTAAGACCAGTGGTGGTAACACTAGACAAGCTGTAGCGGTTGCAGTAGACCCACATTTAGGTAATGCTCTCATTGGTTTTAATCAGGAGGCCGACTGCAATGATTGGATACTTGATTCCGGAATAACAAACCATATGATTTTTGATGTCACTGCCCTCCACGATGAACTAGCATTGCAAATGCTAATGGAGACATTTCTTCGATAACAGGGGCTATAACAGTATGATATCACCAGCCCTATCATTGTCTCATACATTACTGACATGACTAAAATACTGATGTCTTCTCCCAAGTGCAGGAGTGTCGAAGTAATAAATAACCCAGCAAGACCGGGGTCGAACCACAAGGAGGTTAATTGTACAAATTACAAACAACAATTATAAACAATAATAATAGTAACAACAACAATAATATTAGTAGCAATAATAATAATAATAATAATAATAATAATAATAATAATAAAGAAAAAGAAGAAGTTTATGAGAACTTTGAGATGAAAGATTAACGTAAGGATTAAACAATGATAAAAACAAATGTCAAGGTTAGAAGTTCCACTAATGGTATGTCAAATAAGTATAATATAAACTCTTATTATTCAATTGGAAACCACACACAAAGGAAGTTCCAATCAGATTATAAATTATTAACATGATTACATTAGTCATCTTATTCAATTAATGCTAATACTTGTAAATCTCGTCAAGCATTCATGATTATAACTTATGTTAACAACAAATCAAGTTCCTTTCATAGCTCAGGTGTCGGTTATACCATACATTATGGGCTATGAAAGTGCCAAGCATTTGTTGTACCAAGTGTTATACAACATAAATCAAGATTAGTCATTTAACAAGCAAAGTATTAAAGAGTGAACAAGATAACAAATATAAAACATGTTAGTATCAAACATTAAAGTCCATATTAAGTTTACATTATACTTATTCTTACACCATTAGTGAGTCATTTAACAAGCAAAGTATTAAAGAGTGAACAAGATAACAAATACAAAACATGTTAGTATCAAATATTAAAGTCCATATTAAGTTTACACTATACTTATTCTTACACCATTAGTGTAACCTTTTCACTTTGACATAATAAACTTAGCTAAACATAATGAAAGAAAGAAAAATAAATAAATAAATAAAATAAGAACATAAATAAGATAAAAGTTAACTAAGTAAATGAAAGGAAATGAAAGGCATAAACTTGATATTAATGAAAGCAAAGCATAAACATTACAAAAAATACAAAGAGAGAAAGGAAGAGCATGATCTTGATCTGGAAACCAAGATGCCTAAATGCATGGAAAATGCCTCCTTTTATAGGCGAAAATTGGAAACTATTGATTTGATGACTAATTGATGAGTGGGTGACCAACTCTTGACTTGGTGACAATCCTTATCTTCTCTTATTTGCCCAAAACGTCATTGATAACGTCAAAATTGGAACCACTTGAAAACATGAAAGTTGTAGGCAATTGTCTCAGCTATCTTGTGTAAAAAATTCAGATCATTGAGACTTCTAAAACTTCAGATATGGGTCAAACACTGAATAATGCTCGGGCTGGAAGATAGATTCAGGCTTCTTTGTTGTTGCTCCAATTTAGACTTTAAAATAACCTTTTTAGATCTTGGGCTCCATATGAAAATTGTAGACCTATGTCTTACCTTTCCATCCATATAAAGTGAACTTAAATCTGAGATCTATAACTCCAAATATGATCCAATTATCGAATAGTATTCCGGTTTGGACTGCACCGGCATCTCTTTTCGGAGTTTAGCCATCTCTTTGTCCTTTCAATTTCAGTTCTTAAATTCATCAATCAATCCTTTCATTTATGTGATAGGACTGCATTTAAAATAAACATTTACCACAAATTAAAGGTATCTTATATTATTAGATATGTTATTGTAAAACATGCTCTAGTTAAGGAGTTATTAATACTTCAAGTGCAAAATGATGATATAAAACCTTAATAAAAATGCACTTTTAAGTACTAATCAATTACTTATGCCTTCTTTATCTCACAAGCTATTATCCGTGAGTCAGATTACTAAAGCGTTGAATTGTGTTGTGCTCATTTACTATATATTTTATCTTATTTAGGATATTCTTGCCAAGGAGATCATTGGGTGTGATACCGAGAGGGAGGCTATATTATATGAAAGACGTCAGTATTGGCCAAACACATCACATGCATCATTCAAGCGATCTCAAAGTGGAATAAATTTTGTTCTAGCACCATCGATTATGCCACCTGTCATTTGGTTACTTACAACATGTGTTTCCTGATTTATTTCTGGGTTTGTCGAATTTGGATATTAAATGTGAGACATGTATTTTATCTAAAAGTCATCGAGTTATTTATCTATTGAGTATGAATAAGAGTGATATTCATTTTGCCTTGATTCACTCTAACATATAAGGTCCATCCCTAAAATCTATTATGTCTAGTTTTCGCTGGTTTGTGATATTTGTTAATGACTGTACTTGGATGACTTGGATTTATCTGTTGAAACATAAAATAGAGGTTTTTCATGTATTTAAATCATTTCATACAATGATTCAAACTCAGTTTGCAGCTAAGCTCCAAAAACTTTGATTAGACAATGGTGGCAAGTATGTGAATCAACAATTTCATAATTATTTCCACCATTATGCACTAATTCATGAGACCTCATGGCACAGACTCCGCAATAAAATGGTATTGCAGAGCTTAAGAATCGTCACATTCTTGAAACTGCTCGATCTCTGTTACTCGGAGCTTACGTACCTAACCACTACTAAAGTGATGTTGTTACCACGGTTGTCCATCTCATTAATTGCATGCCTTCAAAAGTTCTTGGGTTCAAGACGTCATTATAAGTCTTGTCAACCAATGTGTCATTACCCACAGTATTGATGCTTCCTCCACAGATTTTTTATTGTGTTGTGTTTTTCACCTCCACAAGAATCAACGTAAGAAACTTGATCCTTGTGCCATTTGTTGTCTTTTTTTAGAATACGCTACATACCAAAAGGGGTACCGATGCTACGAACCAGTTACTAGGCATATATATGAGTATGGATGTCACTTTCCTTGAATTTGACACTTTCTACTTTCTTGCAGTATCCAATTTTTCTCTTCAGGGGGAGACACAAGTAAAAGAAATGAATTGGTTGACATTTGACTGGTTCAAAGACACTGATACAACATTGAATACTACTCGATTTATTATCAATCAGGAATCTAATCCAGAGTTGACATCTCTAGAAGTTGAAGTAACAGTGTCGACATCTCCAGAAGTAGTAATAGTACCCCCCATTCCCACTCTTTAGTATCCATTGACCCATCTCCTGAGAATTTCATTGAGGTAAGCTCTCCTATCCCACCTCACATTCCTAATGATATGGATACCCTTGTTGGCTATGAGTTACCTTTCAGGAAAAATCGAGGAAAACCACCAAACAAATACTCTCCAAAATTAGAGGATCAAAGATCAAGATATCCAATTGCCAATTATATTTTGACAAAGAAATTGTCCAAACCTCTTAAGAACTTTATGAATGAACTCTCTTCACATCATATTCCCACGAGTGTTAACGAAGCTTTGGATGACTCTAGGTGGATCCAAGCTATGAAGGAGGAAATGGAAGCTTCACTAAAAAATAAAACATGGACTCTTGTTTCCCTACCAGAAGGTTAAAAAACAATGGGGTGTAAGTTAATATTCTCCATCAAGTATAAAGTCGATGGGTTAGTTGAAAGGTACAAAACAAGGCTAGTGGAAAAGGGCTATACGTAAACCTATGGCATAGACTATCAAGAAACATTCTCACTTGTAGCCAAGTTGAGTACTATTAGAGTTCTACTATCTCTCTCAGCAAATCGTGATTGGCTATTACACTAGTTTGATATTAAAAACGTGTTTTTACATGGAGATCTTAAATAAGAAATCTACATGGATGTCCTTCTAGGATATATGGCAAACTCTGAAACTAAGATCGTGTGCAAATTACAAAGAATTTTATACGGCTTGAAGCAGTCTCCTAAACCATAGTTTGGGCGCCTGAACTCGGCAATGAGAAAATATGGCTTCCAACAAAGCAACTCGGATCATACTCTATTCTTAAAACATCACCGGGGTAAGGTAACAACTTTGATAGTTTATGTACGTAGATGATATGATCATTACAGGAGGAGATGACTAAGAGGAAATAACAAGACTTCAAGAACAACTGCCCACAGAATTTGAGATGAAAAATCTAGGAGGACTTAAATATTTTCTGAGAATTGAAGTTGCTAGGTCAAAACACGACATATTCCTTTCCTAACAAAAATATATCCTGGATTTATTATTAGAAGTATGATTACTAGATTGTAAGCCTGCAGATACACTACTAATTCAAAATCATAAACTAAGAGAATGCCCAGACCAAGTGCCAACAAATAAAGGAAGATATCAAAGAATAATAGGAAAATTGATTCATCTCTCTCACACAGCTGAACATCGCTTATGTAGTGAGTGTGGTAAGCCAATTCATGCACTGTCCGAGTGAAGATCATATAAATGCAGTGATTTGAATTCTCAGATGCCTAAAGTTCTCTCCTAGAAAGGGACTTATGTTTACAAAAAACAATCACTTACGAGTGGAAGGTTACACAAATGCTGACTTGGCAGGAAATATCTCTGATAGAAAATCGACTTTAGGCTATTTCACGTTGGTTGGAGGAAGCCTAGTTACCCAGAGAAGTAAGAAGCAAAAGGTGATAGCATTATCAAGTGCTAAAGCTGAGTTTCATGGGATGACTAAGGCCTTTGTGAACTTATCTGGCTTTGAAAACTATTAACTAAAATTGGCCTTGCTCCTAAGGGAGAAATGAACCTATTTTATGATAACAAAGCTGCAATTAATATTTCTCACAATCTAATTAAGCATGATCAAACCAAATATGTGAAAGTAGACCAATACTTCATCAAACAAAATCTTAAGGCCAAGACCAATTGACAAATATATTTACGAAAGCTACATGTAGCATAAGCTTTTATAACTCATTTGACAAGTTGAGCATATGAGATATATATATATCAACTTGAGGGGAAGTGTTAGCATGAGTTGTCCCATGCAAGATTATAGGAGGAAAATCAACAATATATTCATTATCTAATTAAGCAATCTCTTATATATATCCTCTCATTCATGTAAATAAGGCATTAAAGAAAAGAAAGATTTTTCTTCATTCTGTAACGTCATAGTACTTGAATGCCCACGACTCCTTTTCGAAAGAAACACTATAAAAAAAGAAAACTTATTTTAAAAAATATCTGTATATATTAATAAGTCATTATTGCCAAAATCTCAGCCATTTCTACAGAAGTTTCAGTCTCACCGCCTCAGCTGCTGTAGTAGATGAATGGCTTCGCAAGACCCATCCATTATGCCAGCGTCGGAACCTTCAAGGCCGCCTGATAGTTGGTGTCGTTGTCCAGTGGGGACCATTCAACAATCATGAGCATGTACATGCAAATACGCTCAGCTGTGCGTGGGCAGCCGCTGCTTAATCTTCCAACTCTCTATATCCAACACCGTTCCACAACGTCTCCATAATTTTCTCACGGACTGTAACATTACTTTTGTTAGGATTTGCGATGGCAAAGATAGAAAGAAGTTGAGAAATTCAAGGCATCAGTTGACGATTACAAGGCTACTTGATTTGAGGAGGTTCTTGAGATCTGAAGATGAAGAGCATATTTATTTCGGCTGCAAAGCATGAGATTGTGAAACAGTTCTCGGGTTATTGAGATTGAACTTCGAAGATGGATATTACTGCAAGTGATTGGGGTAGGGAAGATCTCATTTTTTATCAAATTAGGCAGGCTTCTATCAGTGCTTATGTTTCGTTCAAAATTGGCAAGGACTTGCGTGCTTGCCAATGTGTGAGCATTTGACAGTCTACACATGCCAATTAAAAGGAGGAGAAAAAAATAATGTAGCAACTAGGGAAGGAGTTTGCACAAGAGTTATCATGTCAGCAACCAAGAACATGTAACAGCTTCAGTCAATTGGAAACGCTGGTTCTTCTTTTCATTCAAACAGCCAAATGTCATGAGAATTACAAATCAAGCAAATCTTGATTAAATTATATACTCTTTTACAAGGGATTGAAGGTCCACAAGACTTGTATTATCTTAGAGGATTGCAAACAATTGAGACTACATGTACAGGTAGCAAGACCAATGTTATTGTGACGGGGGATCTTCAACTTCAGAGTCTTCTGATTCGGATTCTAACTTTTCTTCAAGACTGATCCTCTTCTTGGATGCTTGTATTTCAAAATTTTCACTGTCAGTTGCTTTATGCTTCGATGAAGGGAGGCCTGATGACGAGTCGGTTTTGGACTCAGCACCAGCAGAAGGGGAAGGAGGTGGCAGCTCGAAATCTTTAGCTGGATCGGTTACTGATGACAAGCTTTTGGGAGAAAGTAAGGCACTGCCAGCTTTCTGCTGTTCCTCTATTATCTTCTGTAAGGACCTTGCATCAAGGGCGGAGGCATCCATGGGCTAGCGTGGGCTCCAGCCAGGTAAAGATTTTATTAATAATTTTTTACTAGTTTTACGTAAAGAAAATTTATAATTTATAATTAAATGATTAAAAAAATTTAAAAATTTACATGTAGCTATCTAATATTTAGCTAAGGTTAAAATTTTAGAATTTTTGGAGAAATTCAGAAATTTGATAAAAAATTATAATTTGACTAGTTTTATGTTATTAGATGTAATTTTTAATCTGACCATCAAATTGAGCTAAACTTTTACAAGAGATCTTAAAATATATTGAATAAAATTTGATTAAAATTTAAGGATGAACAGAGTTTGATAATACTATAAAAAAACATCAACTAAAAGCAAAACGACTCATTAAGGATAAAATGATTATTTGTCATTAAAAAATAAAACAAATCAGTTCTTTGTTCCTTTTATATGTTGCTAACTAGACAAAAGTAGAATAGAAAAAAAAAAAAACGAGAGAGAAAGAGAGAAAATTAAGGGGAAAACATAAAAAAGTCCAACAAAAAATAATAAGAAAAGTGTGAGAATAACCTTATAAACTTACAAAATCCAACTTATAAAATACTAATTTAAAAAAAAATTAAGTGAAGAAAGGAGGAATTAAAAGAGGAAAAAAATTTAATTACTTTATTTTTCAATTTACATAAGATTGTTATTTTATCTCGATTGAGGATTTGTTATAATATTGATTTATATTTAATTATAAATAAATTATATTTTACAAAATATTGAAGAATATGATTTTAATAGTGAATTTATTTTTACTTTCACTTTAATTTTCTATACTTTTAAATTTATTTTTTAATATTTTAAATAATATATTTAAATTAAAATTTTATTATTAATTTTAAAAATTTAGGTATATAGGTTAATAATTTACCTTTAAAAAATTTATATATTTATTCAATATCTCGGAACAAGAAAAATTACTAGCTCCGCCTTGCCTTGCGTGTTCCTCTATCCGTAACTGAAGGGTTCTTTGCACCTAAGATATAGAATGAACAAACAAGTTATCCTAACGGGAAGACCTCAGAGATCAGCATTCAATGCATGTCTATCGAAGTTATGTGAACAAATTCAGGCACAACGGAGAATATTGATCTGGTCATACAAGAGAAAGCAAAAGCAAACAACAAGCAAGAGTTTTGGGAAGGGAAGGGTGAACAACTACCAGGAGGTATTGGCCTCCACCATTAGAGAAAATTGATAGGCTTTTTAAGCCCTCGACACAAAACATTCCGCAAAAGCTATCAGATATATTCCCAGGACCCAGAGAAGAAAGTATACTAGTAGGCGCAGATTAGTTTTTAAGATTAACGAAGTGAGAAAGCAGATAGAAACCAGATGGTAGTCGTAAGTTAGTTGTACAACATACCTCAAGTTGTTCATGTAGCTGCTTCTGGACTTCCACTTGCATGCGAAAGAGCCTCGGTGATTTGAATTGTCCTAGACATGAAAAGATGGGGAAAGTTTTATATGTAAATTGATAGAATAAAATGGCAAGATGTCCACATAGAATTGAAAAGGCAAAATATATCAGTGCTAAAAACCCTTTTTCTTCTCATCATCATCGATGATAATTGAAACCGCTTTCTTTTCTTCAGAGCAAGAAGCTTTCGTCTCTGTATAGAAAGAGAGTAAAATCTCAACAATTCGAAAGAAAGTGGAAAAAGAAAAAAAAAAAATCCTTTGATGCATATATAAAAACAAAAACAGATCACTATTGGAATTAGTTTTGAAGTCTAATTCTTGTAGGTTATCTTTAAGTCTCTAAAATAATCTTAAGATTAGCATAAATATGAGTCATGAACAGTTGTAATCTAAGTACAAGCCATGGGGCTTCCTCTCTAATGTGAGAGTAATATGATATAAGTGAGTCTCAATCATACTTCCCTCATCCTCCTCCCAATTTTACTCTGTGGAAACTTAAAAGTAAATTATAGATAGGGTCGAATTGATTCCCTCTTCGAGTTCTGGATATCCCAGAATAGGATCCCATGATCCTGAACTAATCAGGTATCAGCAGAAAAATAAGAAGAAACAAAGATCAGGTAACCCAGAAACACTGCCACCCATCTTCAGAATTGAGGTAGAAAATTGTTCTAATGAAAAGAATAAATAAGCATGCCAGATGGAACGAATAACTGTAGCACGGACAAAATCATATGAACATTTTTTTAGTTATTCCTGAAAAAGATTTGGCAATGATGATGTTGGTAATGATGATGTTGGCAATGATAAACATGACTTCTTTGCATTATGAATTCATTACCTTCCTTTTTTTTATGGAAAATACTTGGCAAGTCGGTATTTCTGAAAAGAGAAAAAAGTAAGGACAAGGTAAAAATCTACACAATTAAAGCACGCACAGCAGAGTTCAAAGCTGACTAATTCAGATTGGATGAACAAGTTGAGAGATAATATAGTTGGCTTTTCACATGATAGATGGTCAAACCTTCAACGTTCATAAGCTTTAACACCCCCTTTGGAGTAGCCTCTACATTTCAAAGCAATCCATGAAACATCATACAACAAAGAATATACATATATAACAATATCAAAAGTGCTGCTTGAGGTATTTGCTATGGTTCAGATGATTAAGTGGTTCGAGCCTAATATATATCACAATAGAGACCTTCAATGAAAAGAGCAAAGCCTCGACCTTCGATGGAAAAGGTGACACAGCTTACTTACTTTCAGCTCCGTCAAGCTTATTGACAGCATCCAAAAAACTTTCTTGAAGCTCAGGTGTTCATCTCATTCTTGGCTTGTGTGCAGTGGATGAACCAAGAGAGGGTTGACTTGAAAGCGCATCAACAGGTGGGGCAATAGAAGGAAAATTCTGATAGCATGCGAATCCTGTGACTGGTTTTGATGAAGTTTCAGGAGTTCCATATATTTCCTAGAAAACAGATCCAAAGAAGGTATAAATTAGTTGAAGATAATGCAGCAGTCCATCAATGGCATGTCTATATGTGGAACAAAAAAAAGGATCTGTTTTCTTTGTTTTTTTTTTTTTTTGAACTGCAAAAAAACCTTATCTAAGTCATCCGATTTTATTTTTTTTATTTAGCAGAGAAGCAAGTATTGGAAATAAAATAAACCCTTCTAATGTAGATGATCCCTCTGCTTGACAATACAATTGCAGATTTACAATAAAACTACTTTTAGTACATTCATTCTAACCAGAATCAAAATTGATGATAGCTACAATGTACTTACATCAAGCCTCGGGTTTTCTCCATGGTCTGTGATAGCTACATCAAGTTCATCAGACAAAAACTGCAGCTCCAATTGCTCTGTTAGTTCTAAATTGTCACTCGTACAGTTCATGCCATGAAAGCCACCCTTAGAAGCATCTCCAGACAAATTGAGAAAGTCTATCATAAAACCATCTGAACGCTCTTCATCAAATGGACTGCTCAAATCCTCGCTGACAAGCTGTGGAGATTTTGTTTAATCAGCGGCAGAAACGGACTGGCTATATGTTGGGGGATGTGGTAGAAATGGAAAATTTCCAAGCTGTCGATTAGTTTCAGAGCTAGATGAAGATGACAGGTATAAACTGGTACAGAACACAGAAGAGCGTTGAAATGTGCTCTTAGAGAGTTGGACATGATAAGCAAGAGATACAGGGCTGTCTGGTCCAGATTTTGGATGGTACTTTTGATGTTGAACTGTAGACACTTGCATTTTATTTGGAAAAATGAGAGATTCTTCACGTATCCAAGGAGATGGACGTGGAGAAGAAGATTCACCTCTCAATGAAGTTTGACTATCTGATTTGCTACAAAAAGAGCTCTGGATTGGAAATACGGTAGTGCAAAATGGCTGTGTGACTCCTTTACTGGACTCCCCTTTTGTTACTGATACGACAGCATGGTGATTCATGATGATAGCCTAACCTTATCTACCATTCCCATAATCATATGCCAAAATCTAGTAAAAAAACCTTTACAGATAGAAATGATGGAACGAGAGATGCTGGATTGGAATTTTAATTTCTGTTGAGATTGAGAAATTCTGAGATTTGAGGGCATAACAAAGGAAAGACATATGGTCAAAGTTTAAGGTTTAATCAACTTCCAAATCCACCAACAGAATCAGTCAGCCGCAACATTTATGTCCGGAACACTTTTCTATCTTCAATCAGCACCGAACTGTTACATTTCTGTAACAAAAATTAGCTTCAATATGATTCTTGGCTTATTTCAGTAACAAGATCAGCCAATCAGTTATCTGCTAAATTTGACATGCATTTAAGCCATATAATCTACACAGATCTTGATGTGAAGGCATCTCCATCAAGTCTATAACTAAATCATGCAAATGATTCTGTGCTGAGAAACCTGTAAACCAGAGAAGCAGTTTATTGATCA